TGGTCATTCCAAACCGGTCCTCTAATTGACATGGTTGGCCATGCATATTACTCACATGTGTTTGAAGTGCCAAAGCCAGACACACTGAGTCACCCCCTCATTCTCGGGGAAGAGGCCAGGAAGCAGCCTGGTCTTGAGGGAGGTTGTGATTTAGCACTGCCAGATTCTCTGATACAGCCCGGCCCATCCCATGGTCACCCTATCTTGCCCTTCAGGGTTGGTATCCATGTTCTTCAGAATGGCATCCCCAACATGGCCTGGCTGCCCACTCCCCCAGAGGAGGTTATTGCTGGTCTCTTGTCACAGTGGAATGTTGTTTTCAAGTGCATATCGTTCAGAGGGGTGTTATGGCCATGGCTACTGATGTTGAAAATAAATGTAACATGTTTCCCATCTACTTTCTAGTCATTTTGGAACTTGTCATTGGTCTGAAAGACTAGTAAGTTTTTGCTCCACAAATCTGGTTTGCATTATTTGTTGACAACCTCATGTAGGTATTTAAATTACATAAAACAAAACAAAAAGCCAAAGATGTATAAGAAAAACAAGAAAGAATGCTAGTCTCTTGTTTAAACTCAGCATACAGGACGTACTAGAAGGAGGTGAACCAATTGTCCATTAACTAGGACTCCAGCCAGGCCTGGCAGTGAGTACCTGCCTTCCCTGTGAACAGGAGACTGAAGAAGAGGACTGAGTGTTTGAAGTCAGCCTGGGCTACACAGGTAAACCCGTTTTAAAGAGGAACAGGGCCAGGCCTGGTGGTGCACAACCTTTAATCCCAGCACTCAGGAGGCAGAGGTAGGAGGATGTCTGCGAGTTTAAGGTCTACATGATGAGTTCCAGGACAATCAGAGCTAGATAGTAAGAAGATAGTAAGACATTGTCTCAGAAAATCAAAACCAAACCAAAAAAAAAAAAGACAAAGACAGTCTCTCTCTCTCTCTCTCTCTCTCTCTCTCTCTCTCTCTCTCTCTCTCTCTCTCTGTGTGTGTGTGTGTGTGTGTGTGTGTGTGTGTGTGTGTGTGTGTGTGTGTTATGTAGAGTGTAGGTGCAGTGCATGTTTGTATATACATGTAGAGTCCAGACAGAGATCAACCTCAGCTATCATTCCTCAGGACACCATGTACCTTAGGTTTTGTTAAATGCTACTTTCATTTTTTTTTTACACTTGTGTGTGTGCTATGGGATGGTCTGTATGTCAAGTGTGTTGCTGATTGGTCAATAAATAAATCACTGATTGGTCAGTGGCCAGGCAGGAAGTATAGGTGGGACAAGGAGGAGAAAAAAGCTGGGAAGTGGAAGGCTGAGTCAGAGAGACACTGCTAGCCGCCACGATGACAAACAGCATGTGAAGATGCCGGTAAGCCACAAGCCACGTGGCAAGGTATAGATTAATAGAAATGGATTAATTTAAGCTATAAGAACAGTTAGCAAGAAGCCTGCCACGGCCATATAGTTTGTAAGCAATATAAGTCTCTGTGTTTACTTGGTTGGGTCTGAGCGGCTGTGGGATTGGCAGGTGAGAGAGATTTGTCCTGACTGTGGGCCAGGCAGGAAAACTCAAGCTACATGTGTGTGTAATGTTGTAGCCCACTAGGTTTCCTAGTGGCTGTTCCCAGCAGGACTGCATAAGAAGTTGATTGGACCACAGGCCTGAGTATCAGGTATTTGTAAGGGTCTACACTTGACTGTAACTAGCAAGGGGGAGGTCTTTTGCTCCACCCCTTGGCATTGTTATAAATAGACCTTTGGAATATAGTTCTGACCAGTGGATAAGGATTCAGGCCCACTCAAGTCTACCCTGCGTTTCTCTCCCCTCTTTATTTCTGTCTAAGTCTCTTATGCCTCATTCCTCCATAGTCCTTGGGGTAAATAAATGTGGGGGCTGGTCTGCCACAGTGGAGGAGATTCATGTCTGCCATGCCATGCATGTGGAGGTCAGAGAACAAATTGTGTGAGCTGGTTCTTTCCTACCACCATATGGGGTTCAGGGATCAAACTCAGGTCACTGGGCTTGGTGGCAAGCACCTCACTGACTCCCACTCCTTGTGTTTTGAAACAGGGGCTCCCACTTGGCCTAAAGCTGGGTGATTCAGCTAGGCTGCCCTGAGTGAGCCCCAGGTCCGCACCTCTTCTGCCTCCTCAGCATTGGGAGTATAGGAGCACACCAGCAAGCCTGGCTTTCTTGTGTGGGTTCTGGGGATTGAACTGAGGTCATCCTGCTTGCATGGCAAGAAGTTTGCACAGTGAGCCACCTCCCCAGTCCTCTCTGGCTTTTCCTGAATGTCTGATGTAAAATTTGAGGGTACCATTGCAGCTGCAAACATCTGCAGACAGAGATGGACATCAACACGGATGTTCTTTGTGCACAGTACCTTTGTTCTGAAGAGCACCATCGTGAGACAGCACAAATGTACTCTGTCTTACATGTTTTCCTCCTGAGATCTGTGGAAAGGGACTGAAAAACGTGTATATGAAAGCAGGGCATCTTTTGATTTTTTTTCTTTTTAACACTGAAGTGTCCTGGTTGGTTTGATTTTTTAGATTAGTATGTGCCTGTCACTTCCTTGATCTCTTGTAAACAAGGATTTGAAGAGTCTGGTCAGAATTTCTAGCTATTCTTAGCAACCTGGCCATTTCTTTCCACTCTCAAATCAGAAAATGGCAGCTGACAGGTACTGGAAAGTATATGATGAAGATGACGACAGACGTCATGTACCTACCTCATGAGACTCTGTGAAGGTGCTGTGCCAAGGGTTCCTGGGCTAAGCACACCAATTCTGTTGCTGTGTACTTTCCAAGGAGCTGGCCAGGGGATCAAAGCTCTGGAGCCTTAAAGTCCAAGATTAAGATGCTATCGGGGGTAGCCGGACAGTGGTGGTGCACACCTTTAGTGCCAGCACTCAAGAGGCAGAGGCAGGAGGATCTCTGTGAGTTCGAGGCCAGCCTGAACTATAGAGTGAGTTCTGGGACAGCCAGGGCTGCACAGAGATACTCTGTCTCAAACAAACAAACAACAGCAACAACAAAAATAGCGCTGTGTGGGGAAATCACTGGCAACCATAAAGACCTGAGCTCTGTCCTCAGCACCATGTAAGAACTAGGTACAGAGGCATGTGCCATAGTCCAACTGTTAAGGAGACAAAGACAGGAAGATCACGAGGGCTTGCTGGGCAGCCCGTCTAGTGGGATCAGCAAGCTCCAGTTCTCAGTAAGAGGGACTGTCTCAGGTGGTCGTGGTGGCACATGCCTTTGACCCTAGCACTCAGGAGGCAGAGGCAAGCATCCAGATCTCTGTGAGTTCGAGGCCAGCCTGGTCTACAGAGAGAGTTTCAGTGCAGCCAGGGCTACACAGGGAAAACTTGTCTCAAATAACAACCACAGAAGCCCTGTCTCAAGAAATATTAGGCTGATCAGGAAGATGCCTCATACCCTAATATTGATATCTGGCCCTCACATTCATGCATACACACATAGCACATACATACTAACACCCCCCCACACACACACACACCACAAACACCACAAACATATACACCACTTACATACACAACACATACACACACACACCACAAACATATACACCACAAACATTCACCACACACACACACACACACACACACACACACACACACACACACACACACACACCCCATCCTGCTACCAGCTCTCATTTCCGGTGAGTCCTCTCCTTGGCTCTCAGGTGACCTCTTCTGATGACTTGCCTCTCCTCCCTCCGTGTGGATACAAGAAAACCACTTTCGTAAAGACAGCGAGTCCCACTGACTCAGGGGCCCTAGTCTTCTGACCTCAACTTAACCTTAATTATCTTCTTAAAGAATACATCTAAGTAAGTCCTGCTGGGGATTAAAGGCATCAACACAGGAATCTGGGAGGGACACAGTTCAGTCCACAGCACTTGAATGCTGTGGCAGAAAGCATCCCTGTCCCTAGAGCATGAAGTGCTCAGTGGCCACTGGTCCCTTACACCCCTCTCTGCATCACTATAGCCTAGCAACACTGCCTTTGCTAGAGGGAAAAGCCAGGTCTGGCCTGGTAGTGGTGTGGACATAAATGAATAGAGAGATTCCCCAAGCCTTTCCTTTTGCTAACACATTTCTCCTTTTCTGTATGGGCACGGGTTTCAGATCTCCCAGGTCCCTCTCCTGTTTATGACAGCCTTCCTTCCCTTCCTGGGCTGATGACTCAGCCTGATTCTTTTATTGGAAATGTAGATGTGAGGTTTGGTTCCTGTCCATTCCATAAAGACATAATTAGACTGGGTGATGATATTAGGTGATATACGGAGAACCAGGAGTGCTACTAAGGGCCTTGCACATGCTGATGAGTGAGTTACAATACAAAACAGTGAGCACACACTTGGGTATTCCCCTCTTGGAGATGAGGAAACTGAGCTTTGAGAAATTTGGACTTCATTTTTTAGGCTTGCATGGGTATTTGCCTGGGTATGGACAGAAGTAGAAGACGGCATTCCCAGCCAGAGAAAAAAGAGGAGTGTTCCCATGGGTCTCTGGCCCCGTTTCCCTTCCCTCTTCCTCCCTCCCTTTCTCTTGCAGAACCCAGAGTCTAATTTGCATACTAAATAAGTACTTAGCACTGAACAGTACCTCCAGGCCCCCACCCTTCTAAGACTTGTTCTTTTCCCCCCTACAAAAACCTGAGATAGGAACTGAACATGGTGGCACACACCTTTAAACACGCTGGGTTACAGCGTGAGTTCCAGGAAAGGCACAAAGCTACACAGAGAAACCCTGTCTTGACAAACAAATAAAACAAACAAACGAAAAAAACAAAAAACAAACAAACAAACAAAAAACAAATGCATAGGCTAAAATATTTCATTGTGCCTAGGTTGTATTTCTTGTAAATTTTCCTGGTAGTATCAATAAGGTATGTAGTAATTAATAATAATAATAATAATGGTGCATGTCTTATGGTCTATTGTTCAGCATATATTGATATCATTGGAATTTTTCAAAAGTAAGTAATTAGCTGAATCTTGTACATTTTTATTGGAAAAATCAGCGATACTGCCTCTGGTGAGACTGCCTTTTTGATGTGGGGATGCTGATATCCTTGCATACATGGTCATTCACAGATGCCCGAGGAGTCAGCCCAGCTCCCAGACAGGAGGATGGCTCCATCTGTCCTTTCCAGCTCAAAAACATACAACCAAACATCTTTGACATTCTCTCCAGAAGGACGTAAGAGAAATAACGCACCTCTACAAGGCCTAGGTTGGCATGCACAGAATGGGGCCTCTCTTCAGTGCTTCATTTTAAGGGACAGTACTTTGGAAAATAGGGAGGCTTCATCTGAGACCTGGGAAAAGGAAAGAGAAATGAGATGGAGAGGTGGCCAGAGTGGTGGTGGTGGGAGCATCTGGAGCATTCTGAGACCTTAGAACGAGAGGGAAGCATGCGTGACAAGAGGGGACCACACGCTTAGCTTCCATGGGAGATGGACTAGAGAGGACATGGAATACACGTTTTCTACTTTCACCTCACCTGTGTGTGGTTGTTGCTTTTCTTGCTTCTGTAGCAATACCTGGCTGAAACTACTCCAGGGAAGGAGAAGGAGGGTGAATTTTCCTTCACCATTCAGAGGAGGTGTCCCTGCTGTTTGTGGCAGAGGAAGATGAAGTGTTCAGTAGCTGTTGGTTGTATTGCCCCAGGACACACAGAGAACTGGGGGTGACTCTCAAGGCCCACCCCTGATTACCCACTTCCTTCAGTGAGGACCCACATTCCAAAGGCTGCACAACCTGACAGACATTGGCCCCCAGCTGGGGAGTAGTGTGTCAACAGATAAGCTGTGGAGGTGACATTTCATATCCAAAGCATAAAGCTGTGGCTCCACAAAAGTCTCATATTACTCCACTTTGACAATGATTGAGGACAGTGACTTCCCGGCCATGCTGGCCTAGGGGAAGGATGGACATCATAGGCCGACTATCATTCACAAACTGAAAGCCCTCCAAGATGCCACCAGGAGGGAAGGAGGAATCTCCATCTCCTGTGTCAGCAATGGTTTTCCGAGAACAGACGCTAGGAAGCCATCTCTAAAGGCAGAGGTCACTGGTTCTCGCCCACTGTGGCACAGCCTCTGGGTGGTGTTGTGCCACACTCTACCGTACTGTGTGTCCATATACTATACTGTATGTAGTCTATGTCGGCTTCTGGGATAGAACTGAGACCCATGGGCAGTTGTATGCGGCAGCTCTTCACAAACAATTATACCACTTAAAACGAAAAAAACCCACCAGATAGCCAGAAGTTCACGTGCCAGTTTCCTAACTCGGTGTGGCTCACCTTGTGACATCAGCTTGTTAGGGTCTGGAGTCGCTTGGGACAAGGGTCTCTGAACACGCCTGTTGGGGAATTTTCTGGATTGTGTTGACTGGGGTAGGAAGACCTGCCCACCGCGGGTGGCACCATTCCGACTGGGAACAGGAGTGTGTAAATGGAGAAAGGGAACTGCACGGCCAAGGCGCCCTCATTTATCTCCCTGCCTCTCGGTGGAAGACGCAAGGTGAGTGGCTTTCCCCCAGGATGCGCCGGAACCAGAACTGTGAGCCAAATGAACCTTTCCTCCTCACTGTGAGTTGCTTTTGTTGGTTTTTTTTTTTTTTTTATCACAGCAACAGGGAAAATAAACAAACAAACAAAACTAAGACAGCACACTCCACGGGTTACAACATTCTTTTGGGTGTGTATGTGTGTGGGGGTGCACTTGTATTCATATGAGGATAACCCTAGACATTGCTCCTCAGGTACCTTTCATTTTGTTTTTGAGACGGGGTCTTTGTGGCCTGGAGCTTGTTGAGTAGGCTGTACTGGCTGGCCAGAAAGCCCCAGGAATCCATCTACTTGTCTGTGCCTCTTCAGTGCTGGGATTCCAAGTGTGTGCCATCATGCCAGCCTTTAAACAAAAACAAAAACAAAGTAAAACAAAACATAGGTCTGGGGTTTTGAACTCAGGGCTTGAGGGGCACTTTATTGAATGAGCTATCTCCCAGCCCTGTCAAAGCATTCCTAAGTGATCTGTTGTTTACCACTTTTTGCAGGTGTCAATAGTCTAGGCTTATCTTACATTTTTGCTGTAAGCCAGTGGCTCTGACCTGCAACCCAAGCACAGCAGAATCACTTGAGAAGTGTTTCCAAAATACACCTGCTCACTAGATCAATAGAATGGGCAAACACAGTGTGATATGATTCACACCATGGAATGTGTTCTGCTGTGCAGGGAGATAGATGAACTCCTGACACACAGTGAGCCAAAGAAGCCAGCTTCCCCATCTAGATGATATGGGAACACTGCTTGAGTTCATTGGCATTATGTCTGAGGATTAACAAGACATGCGCATAGAGCAGAAGTCAGCCCAGAGGGGACATAGTGACTGGGAAGTCGCACAAGGGAATTTCCTGCAGTGGTAGACACTTTACCTGGACCTGGGTCGAAGTCACATGCATGAGAGGTGTTTGAGCCTCATATATCTTAAGTTTTCTGCTTTTTACTGAATTCTGGTTGTAGCTTAGTTACATCCAGTCTAAAATATGATGCATACCAACATGTGTACTCACAGATGTCCTTTGAACAGCAGGAAAAGAAAACAAGGTATTAACAAAGCCCTCCTCCTCCGTAAAACTTCAAAATGTATAGACAGCCCCTACAGCGCATCAGACTTTTTCAAATAAAGCCAGCCTACTCTCCAGTTTTTTAAAAAAAATGGGCCGGGCAGTGGTGGCGCCTGCCTTTAATTACAGCACTTGGGAGGCAGAGCCAGGCTGATCTCTGTGAGTTTGAGGCCAGCCTGGTCTACAGAGGGAGATCCAGGACAGGCACCAAAACTACACAGAGAAACCCTATCTCGAAAAAACAAAAAACCAAACAAAACAAAAAAAGGAGGTGTTTATTGTGTGTGTGCATGTTTGTGTGTACGTGTGTACAGGTGTATGCACATGTGGGAGCCAGAGGTTGACATCAGCTGTCTTCCTCTGTCACTCTCCACCTTATTCTTTGAGGAGGTCTTTTGTTGATCCTGGACCTCACTGCTTTGACAGTTGGAATCTTCCTGTGTCAGCCTCCCTGTAGCTAGAGTATTCCTGTGTCCACCCAGCTCCTACAGCCACTCAGACCCACATAAACACACAGACGCTTATATTATTTAAACTGTTTGGCCTAATGGCTCGAGGTTTTTGCTATCTAGATCTTACATCTGAAATTAACCCATTTCTAATAATCTATAAGTTGCCACGTGGCTTGTGGCTTACCAGTACTTTACATCTTCTCATGCGTCTCCTGACTCAGCCTCCCACTTCCCAGAATTCTCCTCTCTTCTTATCCCGCCTACACTATACTTCCTGCCTGGCTACTGGCCAATCAGCATTTTATTTATCCATCAATCAGAGCGACACCTTCACAGCACACAGGAAGACACCCCACAGCACTTCCCCAGTGGTGTGACTGCGGCTGAGCACCACCATGTCTGGCTTTTTACCTGAGTGCTGGAACCAAAGTCGGCTCTTGCACATCAAGTGCCTTTCTGACTGAGCCATCTCCCAGAACTTGTTCTGCTTTCAGGGACTTCAGTGTCTTTGAAGGTGTAAAAGTAACACATTAATGAGAAGAACATATTGGAGGTGGGAGGAATGGTGGAGGGCCCTGAGATTCTGCTTGGCATCCTGTATTTATAGTTAGAGTCAAGTTCAGAACAAGGAGATGTATTACTTTGAAGAGATAATATCCACTAGTTTCTAAAATTGTAAAACTTTAAACATGAGGCTCATTACTTTAAGTCCTGTCCAACTCATGCACCTTGAGGAAATGGCAGAGTGCAGACTTAGCTAAAGGTGTGTTTGCTTACACACACACACACACACACACACACACACACACACACACACACGGAGGGGTGAGAGAATGTATTTGGCTTATTTTGGAGAGAGAGAGAAATAGAGATAGGCTTCTGGTTTCTTTTCAGTTACTTCAAGTTGTGTTCTTTGTGTATATGAGTGAGTATGGTGGTGTGTGTGTGTGTGTGTGTGTGTGTGTGTGTGTGTGTGTGTGTGGCACATGTGCACAGAGCCCAGAGTCAGGCATTGGGCATCCTCCTCTTGCTGGGGGATGTCTTTCTGTATGCTGTGAATATATGTTGTTCCCATTGGTTAATAAATAAAGTTGCATTGGCCTATGGAAAGGCAGCTTAGAGGCAGGCGGGAAATTCAAGAGAGAGACACCAGCACCACCAGGAGAAGCAAGATGTGAAAGTACCGGTAAGCCACAGCCACGTGGCAACTTATAGATAAAGAGAAGTGGGTTAAGTTATAAAAGCTAGCTATCAAGAAGCCTGAGCCATTAGGCCATACCATTTGTAAGTAATATAAGCCTCTGTGTGTTTACTTGGGTCTGAGCAGCTGTGGAACTGGGTGGGACACAGGAAAACTTCTGACTACACCCTCTACCCTCCACCTTATTCTTTTGAGGCTGGGTCTCTCCCTGAACTGCAGTTCATGGAGCTCAGGACAGTTCTCTCTCTCTCTCTCTCTCTCTCTCTCTCTCTCTCTCTCTCTCTCTCTCTTTCTCTCCTTTTTCCTTCCCTCCTCCCTCCCTCTCTCTCTCTCTCTCTCTCTCTCTTCTTTTTCCTTCCCTCCTCCCTCCCTCCCTTCTTTTTTTAACTAGGCTGGCAGCCTGGAAAGCCCCTCTCATCCCCCTGCTTCCAGCAGTGCTGGGTTACAGGCACAGGGGAACCATGCCCAGCTATGAGGAGTGTTAGGATCTGAACTCACTCAGGTCCTCATGTTTCTACGCCAAGCATTTTGCCTTGTGTGTGTGTTTTTGAGACAGGGTCTACTTAGCCCAGGATGGCTTTGAACTCACTGGCCTCAAACTCATGGAGGTTGTCCTGACTCCGTTTCCTGAGTGCTGGGATTATTATAAATGTGGGCAATGTGCCTGATTTCCCAAACCTCTCCCAGTACTGGGCATGCGAGCACTATGTACTGAACCCTCGGGCTCACACTGTGTTTTCTTGTTACAAAGAGTTATATCTCAGTGGGTCAGCATATGTCTAGCATACCCGAGAACCAAAGTACAACTCCCAAGTCATTAAATAGGCAGTTTCTCTCTCTTTCTGTGTGTGTGTATACAACTGAAGTAGTTCCTATTTGTATTGTCTTCCTATGATCCAATATAAAGCTAATCAGTCACACTTCATAGGTCCTTAAAATTAATGACTTTTACTTTTATGAATAAGTTGATTTAAAAATTAAAAACAAGTGCAGAGGGCCAGTGATCAGCCTTGGCTTTACTTATAACTACAAAGGCAGCAACGTTCACTCACTGGACTCCCAGCATCCACGTTGGTCTCAAGGCAGCATGCAGGCAGCTGTTCCAGCTCTGGCTTTGCCTCGCTTCCTCCACAAACGTACCTGTGTCTGGAGGAGACACTCAAGCAAGCTCAGACAGGGTCGCAGCCCGAGACTCAGCTAAAGCAACCAAACTTAGTCCTTGATGTCACAGTCCACTGGCAAAATGAACTCAAGCTTGCACAGGGTCACATGGCTTCCTGCTTCCTCAGCCTTCTCTCAGGGATGCTGATGGTATGCATGGCTGTGTGGAATATTGCCCACACTTGCAGCCACAAAGAGAAGCCCTTCAGAAGACTGGTTGGAAACTCACCAGACCCCTACAGTGATCTGTTTGACCTTGAAAAACTGACCCTTCCATCCATCATCCCATTCCGTCCCCCTCTGGCCCTCTCTAATCCTTCTTGGTTCTGCAGACAGGTAAATGCTCAGAAGGCAGTTATTACAGATTCGCTCCCTGGGCACAAGAGATTTAATATTTTTCTTTCTTGTTTTGAGGTAGGGTTTTGCTGTGTAGTCCAGGCCAGCCTTCAGCTTGTGATTTTCCTGTCTCTGCCTCCAGAGTGTGGCATGGGCCACCAGGATGGAGTAAGGCCTGGAAGTTTAGTATCCCTTGCCTGTACAGTAAAGTAATTTGATGCTATCTTCTGTGACAAGGACTTCAGGGTCTGTGGAAGGACTTGGCTTGAGACTTCAGAAGAACAGATGCCAAGACACACAAACTCTAGAACTACAGGCGGCCCCTTTCATTTCACAACTACCAAAACCAAGGATCCGGGTGGGGGGCTGGGATCCTCCTGAGTCAAGCACTGGGTCAGCAACTCAGCGGGACCTAATACAGGTCCCCTGCTCGGCTGAGTGCTTTTTCCATTATACCGGCTGCGCCTCAGTAACCCCACCTCCGAAAGTGCTCAGGCAGTTCCCTCCCAGTGCCCAGGCGGGGTGGGGCCCCTCCGTGGCATGGAACAAACCGGGAAAACCACATATTCCAACTCCTGGCGCACAAAGGCTGGCTGGCCGTGGGGGTGGGGTGGGAGGACCGGAGCTAAGTCTAGCTCACTACTGGGAGAACCTGGGATTCTGAGCAGGGCTCCTAGATTGCCTGCTCAAGGAGGCTACCCTATTTTGTCCTGTCCTGTGTCCCCTGGGCGGTGGGGGCAAGACCTCCCCCAAATAAATGGCCTGTTCTAGCTCCAGCGTCCCACCCCCTAGCTGCCTACGGAAATCTAGGAGGGACGGTCCTTTCCTTTCCGCTTTCCCATCCGCCCCCGGAGCGTCGCACAGCTGGGTTGCCTTGGGTCGCCACCCCCTCTCCACTTCTATCTTACTCCAGGCACTTTCCTTCCGTCCACAGCCCCCCACCTTGGAAGGAAGACACGCTCCAAAGCTAGCCCATTAAAAGTGCACGACTTCTGCCCGGCCTGCCGAAGGAACTCGGGCAGCCCGGCATTCCTCGGATTCCAGCGCTGTGACGTCCCCGGGGACCGTGCGCCCGCAGCGGGGGAGCCCGGGCTCCACTTTTCAGCGCTGGGTGCGCGTGCCCGAGGTTAGCGCGCGCCCTCCCCAGTCGCATTCCTAGCCCGCCCAGAGAGCACCCCGCGCACTCCCCGCCTCCTGGCCCCCAGAGCAGCAGAGCCCAGCCCCGGGCGGGGGAGCCCGGCCAGCGGCGCCTGCTCGTCCCCTCCCACCCGGCCCCTTCCTCCGCCCTCCCGGCCGCTCGCGCTTCCTGGCACTCGGGCTCTCCCGGCGGCTCAAGTTCTGCACAACTTCTCCCGGCTGCCCAGCGCCGCGGCCGCGGGTCCGGGCCAAGCTCGCTGCGCTCTGCGGCTCAGCCGTCTCGTCCCCAGAGCTGGTCCTCGTGGAGCATCTGGCGCCACTTGGCCGCTGGCGGTCCCTTTCGGCACCCCACCTCTCGGATCGCCCCAGCCCCCTCGCGCGGGACGGCGGTGCTCAGGTTCTTGGCCCTTTCTCCTCCCCAGTGCTCCCGGCGCGGCGGAACCCTCCCCGTGCCCTTCCTTGGCCAGCTCCTGGAAGCCAGTGGTGGGGACCCAGGCTCCCCAATGGTCACCGCGCGGCACCCAGGGCACTCCCGGGCCATGTAAGCAGGTAAGCCAGCGGGCAGGAGCAGATACTAGGGCAGCGCCAACTTGGGCTCGACGCGGGGGACGCCGGGGTGCGCGGCCGCGGCTCCAGGTGGCCAGCCGCTGGGCTTCTCTTCGCGTGCAGCGCTCGCTCGACCCGGAATGAGCTGCAAGGGGAGCGCGGTCTGCGACTCGGTAGTTCAGCCAAGCTATGCCTCTAGCTCGTGGTTCTTTTCTGCGTGTGGAGAGGCAGAGCGTTCTGGGAAGGGCAGAGGGCAGCTGGAGGTCCCCATACCGCCCGGGCAGCTCTTGGGGAGCAGACGTTGCTGTCGTGCTTTCGAGCAGGAGAACGAAGCGCAGCGCCCTAACCTTGCCTCTGTGCCTCCCTTGGGGACTGGATTTGGGAGGGGGTCCTTGTTTCCTTTCTCCATGCCCCAGCCGTGTTACCAAATTCTCAAACCTCTTGACTCCCGCTTGGGTCGGACAGACGCGCAGGGAAAATTTGCGGCCTCATCACTTCAGATCAGATCTCCACCTCGAACTTTGCGAGTTCTGAGAGTTAACAGCTTCTTTCCCACGTGACCTCACGTCTAGGGTTGAATCTCTGCGAATGGGTTTCCTACTTTTTCTGGAGGGGTCGATGATGTGTGGTGATGTGCGCTGTCACTACCTCCCTTTGCCTTCCTCCCTTCAGTTCTTGTCGCCCCAC